TGGTGCACTGCGAGCTTACCCCAGTAGGTCATTACTCTGCATGACTGCTTGGCCACGGCAGTTAATAAAACGAAGTAGTTTTAGTAAAACAACGCAAGTTTTAGATCAGCCAATGACAGAACGGTGAGGAAGCTTACTTTTACGTCGAGTGCAACTTCAGTTTAGGTTAAACTTTGGATGGTTTTAGGAGCTAAAACAACGGGCAAAATATGTGAAAAGCACAATACTACCTCTGTTCCAAAATTTGTGCGCGAGTTTGAGGAGGGGCGACATTACACGTCATTATATTCAGAAGTACAATTAACATGGTGTCACCTGCCTCGAATCGAAATGCATTGCTATGAGCTCTGAGCTCTTGGTTCGCACCAAGAGCTCTGAGCTCTTGGTTCGCACCAAGAGCTCGCCGTGGATGCAACAATGAGCAGGAAATCTAAAGAGATGACGCCATTACCTGCGTTCAAATTCTTGCATACAAATATCCATATATAACATACACACTCAACTACCAAATTCTTGAAATGCCAATCAAAAGACGCAACTCGCCGACGACTTCGAGAGGTCTTGCTTCTCAGCAACGGCAGCTACATGTCGAGGCTGTCAAAGGGTCTGAGCCAGCAACTGGCCGACAAGTATAACTGCCACGTTTCCACCATTCGCCGGGTCCTTGCTCTTGCGAAGCAGCAGGGTGTCGGTCATGGCAACATGAAAGTCACTGTTGCAAGTAGGAAGAAGGGCAGAGTTGGCAGAAAGAAGGCGTTTACTGCAGAGCAAGGTAAGGCCAAGCTCATAGTGTCAGATTTACCGAAAGTCGTCATTTGATTTGTCCTGAGAAACGGATTTGGCATCCTCGGTTTGGCTCAGTGTATCGTTACACCTGTATAAATGCATATTGAAATTATTCAAGGTTGGAGTGTTTTGTATTTTCATTGGAGGAGGCATACATCAACTTATTTCGCGCACTTATTTTGGAACAGAGGGAGTAACCAATTGCAGATTCGCAATGTCGGAAGTAGTGCTCCGTAATCCGACGGATTGTTCTACTGTCCAAGGTGCACCGTGCATTACGTCAACGAGCGCGCCTTCCGAGCTCACTGCAAAACCAAGCATGGCTTGAAGGTGACCCTCTTCAAATAGAAGTCAATGACGAGAAAAAGCCCAAGGCACGGCAACGCAAGCAGCATCGAAAGGCAATGCGAAGCGTTGGAAGCGATGACTGGCAAGGCTGTCCGTCTAAAATAGCGTGCACCATTTACATGTGCCGTCGCGCGCGTCCGTGGGGCTTACCATGCAGAGAGTCCAATCGTGAAGATCGATGACTCGACGGTTCCTGGTGCTGGTCGAGGATTGTTTGCCAACGTGCATTTATCTACTGGTGACATTTGCACCCTCTATGACGGGGTAAACGTGTACCAAGAGCCAACAGACCATGAGTATGCGTGTCAGCTTGGTGTTGTGACAACGAAATCGTGGCTTATGGGTCTCAAAGACCCAGTTGCCGGCCGTGGACCTGGGTCCTTCGTCAATCGTGAAACTCGCGGGAGGTCGGGTGTTTGAAGAATTGCCAGCTCACGAGAAGTAGAAGCGCGATTTTTATCAAAATATTGAAGTATGTCAAAGCCGACAAGGATCACTTTGCTGTATATGCGATTTGTATCAAAATATTGAAGTATGTCAAAGCCGACAAGGATCTCTTTGCTGTATATGGTCTCGGTTACCGACTTTTATTAAAGATGAATCGATTTTGTCTTGTATTGTTGTTGTCATGTATTGCCTGTCACCGTTCCTTATCTGCGTTTTTGCTGTAGAAATGAAGTGCTAGAATATTATTAATCGTCCGCAGATGCTAATAAGTTCAAGATATATTATATTCGTTAAGCTTTTACAACAGCCAAACAGATCATCCACGTGCTATCATTTCGTATTTGAGCCGATTGACTATAAGAAAATCTGTCCAAATGGTACCACCAATTCCCGTCCACCTTTGCCACATCTTGTGGCATGACGACGCCGAAGTTGATGCGACACCCCCATCGCCCCCTTATTGGAATACCTTGTGGCGAAGGCAGGGGGCAGTCCATGTGATGTTGATGTAATCAGTGCACAGAATCCATCCCACACGATTCACGCCCACCTTTGCCAGGTCATGTGGCCTGACACCAGTGAAGCTACTTCACCTCCATCGCACGCGTTGGTCGATCTTGTGGAGAACGTAGGGGAGGGTCCTTGCGAAGTTGATGTGATCCGTACGCCGAACACATCGCACGCGATACCCGCCCACCTACGCCACATCTTGTGGCCTGACACTGGCGAAGCGGCTGCTCCTCTGTAACCCCCATTGCACCCGTTGGCCGATCTTGTGGAGAACATATGGGAGGCTCCACGCGAAGTTGATGTGCTCCGCACGCCAAGCCCATCACACGCGATACCCGCCCACCTTCGCCACATCTTGTGGCCTGACGCTGGCGAAGCTTTACCACAGTCGCCCCCATCGCATGTGTTGGCCGACCTTGTGGAGAACGCAGAGAGTGGCTCGCTTGAATGTGATGTGACGGGCACATCATCGTACACATGGTACGCTATACCCAGCCATCTTCACGACAACATGGCGGTCGACGCTGGCGAAGCAACAACTGTTCCCATCCTATGCGTACGACAAGCTCGTGGCAACGTTGTGGACGACGCAGGGGGGGCGCATGGGAACCTGATGGGATCGTCACATCACCCCCGTCGCACGCGTTGGTTAGCCTTGAGGACTACACGGTGGATGGTATGTGGGAGTTAGTTGTGACCGGTACGTGGGGCGATGGGGCCTACGACACGCCAGACTTCACCTTTGGGGGCTCTAACGTCGTGGATACTGCGAATGACAACACTCGGGACGAAATAGACGATGATGGGAACGAAATGGACGACGATGCCATGTTGCTGACTTTATCACCGGACCCCAGATGTCGTCACAGGCAAGACAGCACGAATGGACTTTGGTTGGCGAGTTCGACACGTACAATAGTGCCAAGGATCGCGTAGCGCCATCAACGACGCACTCCACGAGGAAATCACGATGCACCGTGTGCCAAGGTCCTGGCGTGCACGAAATGTGTGCGCGGTACCTGACTTGTGTTTGTCGTGAACATTTATCAAGCATTTGAAGCTTCTGTACTGCTCGGTCAACGGTCGTACCTTGGCGTTCAAACGTGGTCAGTACGGGGATCGCAGTGCCCCATCCACCTCCTCGGCGACCTTGGCTATCCGAAGCCAGGTTGACAGGCTATTCGCCGACTGCATCACCCCAAGCCGAGTACGACACAGGCTGAAGGATTCAGTTCCCGCAAGCGCCATGCCGAACCTGAAGTGGTTTCAAAACCGTGCCCGGTACTATCGCATGCGTAATCTACACGAGCACAGCAAGCCTGTGGAAATGGCCCGCATGCTTGCAACATGCTGGTTCGATCCCGGTGTGACGAGACGACGTTTTTCTCCTTCGGGTTCGACTTGGTGCATGGGGTCCCTCAAATTGGATATGGCGGTGCGTCTGGTGTGTTTAAGGTTGGTATCATAACGAAGGCACTGCTACGTTGTATGTATCGCGACCCGTCCTCGTTTGTGTTTCGTTGGGACGCCACCTACAAGATCAATGCTTTGGCCTACCCAGTTCTCTTCTGCGGGATCACTGACCCTAGTCGGAAATTCCACCCCGTCGTCTTCTTCTTGATTGGCCGAAAATCCACCGATGAGTACGAGTGGGCGATGAAGCAACTCATGGCCGTGTACGAAGCCGTCGTAGGAAGTTGTCTTCAACTGCACTATGTCATGGCGGACACCGCCTTAGTCCCTGTTGGAGCGCTGAAGACCCTGCAGCCCCAACTTGGAATCAAAGCGATCCTTATGTGCTTTTACCACTGTGTGGCGTGCGTCAACAAGCGGCTTGGCGTGGTTCTGACAAGCGTAAAGGCCCTCGTCGCCCGCTACTTGTTTAAAATGCACTTCAGCAGAAGTGTTGGCGAGTGTCAGCTGCACTGGAACGAGGCTAAGTCGGCGCGGACAGCTTGTGATGCCCTCGAAGGCAAAGGTTTCGTTCGCTACTTCGAAGGGCAGTGGGTGAACGGTGAATGCTGCAATTGGCAGGTGTACCATACTCCAGGTGGATTCCCCACTACGAACAATCCATGTGAGCTCTTCAACAAGCATGTCAAAGGTATGTTAAGAGACCACCCTCGCGTCATTATTGACCAGAATTGATAGGAATCTACACGCAGCGTACAGTTCATGGGTTGTGCGCCACCTTTCAGTTGCTGGGTTCCATAACCTCGAATATTCCTCCTTCAAAACACAGTCCTTTGCATTGCGGCCTCTGTTCAGCAAGAAACTGCAACAACGATTCCGACTTTGGTGACGAACGCTCTCCTTGAGGTCGTACCTCTCCATCCGGGCATCGTACTGCGCCCCCACGAGGTGCGAATCCGCGGCGTAAGCCCTGAACTTGCTATCTCAATGGCGCGTTCGAAGATGACGCTGAAGACAATGCTCTGTTCCATGATCTACACCGCCGTGGTATTACAACTATACCACGCCAAGCATTGGCCCTCGCGAATACCTACAACTACAACGAACGAGCCAACAATGTGCGCCATGAACCGTTGTGTGGAGTCCACATGCAGCAGTCGTATGGGTGGCATGTGTCGACAGCCCCAGGTGAATTATCGTGTGAGTGCAACTATTTCTACAATAACAAGTACTGCTGCCACTTGCTGTATGCACTGCAATATCAACACAAAGATGTCCAAGGTATGGCACTTCCTCCAACAACATTTGCTCGCAACGTTACTCAGTCTAGTGAAGCTACATCTGGTTTCACTGGCCATCGGCGATGTCAAGGGGTTCGTGGTGTAGGGAGGAACGTGCGTCGTCGTCGTACTTCGGTCCCCCACTTGCAATGCGTTGAATTTCTGGCTTGCGGAGCTGTGGAATCATATTATTGTATTGTGTTAACGTTGAATAATCTTTGATATAGAGCGTATATTTTAAACGAAATTGTATCTGCATATGGATGGTGGTGACGGAAATGAATTGCAGAATGGGCATGGCAAGTAGTCGTGGAGGGTCCTAGGTATTCGGTGATGATGAGCTTACCAGATGTATGGGGTATGGCACGTGCGCTACAGTTGACCCATTATTCTGTCAGTCCCATCACGAGCTACCACTAAACACACGTGTCACGTCCCCTCCACAGGCCAAGCCTAACATATTCGCCTGCCAATACGGGTCAGCTCCGACAACTACTGAACGCACCCCTTCCGTCATGCCTACTACGACTACTACGTTTCCTACCAGCTGGTCCTTTGTCCCCAGTACGACGGAGCGCTCTGATAACAACAGCACAGTCAAGCCGGCCACCAGTCGCACTCAGCTGTCGGCGTCCACCCACGGGACCACCGTGCTTGTTGTTCTCATGCCCGTCCTCTTAGCGTTCTAGATCGTTAACTAGTTGTATATGAAACATCCGTGTTATCGTGTGTCAGACTTTTATGATATGAACGCCATGCAAGTAAGTAGTATACTGCCTCCTGTAAGTGCATGTTGGCCCACGACGATGTCCGCTCTTAAACACCGCCCCGCTTCAATAGAGTCTCACTATACGGAGTACTCGGATGACGAATCCATCCATCCAATCCACGGACTAAATGACATCAATGCTCGACAAAACATTCACTGTGCGACAATAGCGACAATCAGTTCCACTCCAATGTGACAACACCTGTATGACTACCCCTTCAACACGAACGACAATCATAATGTCAAGTACGACAACACACCATACTGCATGCGGATTGGCAACGGCCTTAACATGGGCTGTTAAGTCCACGGGACACGTTCACAGAAGCTCAACACCACAAGACAAATGTGAATCACGACAGCACACAACGCCCCTACTCGATAGCATTCGACCGAGGACACCAGCGCCCCATGATCCCCATGACAAAGCATAGGACAAGAAAGGCAGCTCCCTTCATAGCACAAGCAACACACAAATGGCGTACAACGACGAACAATGTCCCCAATCATATACCATTCCCTTGGACAAGGTATATTACGTATGCCACGATTCTAATACACCCATCCGTAGTGACAAAACACTACACGTACAGCCGACTGTCACAGCTCGCATACTAAAGCAGCTCCCTTCCTAGCCCGCCATTCCACGTTAACTGTTAATCCTTACCACCTGAGTTCGAACGATATTTCCAACAAGGTATGACACCATTGCTCCACTTCGATTAACCCGATAACACAGACTCAAACTACAACGACACCAACCTCTCTAGGACAAGCGATACCTACACCCATTTCAACATCATGCGTTCATGTGACAATGATGCGCATGATGTAGAAATATGTGCACCTATGGTATCATGCATCAACAAAAAGGCGAAAGCGTCAAGTAAGCGTATCTAATGCGACCGATTAACATTACACCATCTAATTTGAGTTGCAACATGTTCGATTCCTACCATAACGTCCAATATCAATCACATACAAATATTTTTGTGCTGCATGATTGAACAATTAAAATTCTTATAATTGAATCTGATTGGATAATTCAAATCTGCAGGTGACACAGGCCAAAACGTGTCGCTCAGCGCCGATACAAAGTGAGTCAAATCCGAGTGTTTCTTCGCATGAATGCTCTCCTTGGACCTTGCTCCAGCGACAGGATGTTCGCACGAACCTACAACATTCCTGAGGCTACGTTCCGTGGTTGTAAAGCGCGTGCGTCTGACTTCTTGGAGTCCTCCGACCACGGATCCCGAGCGACTCTAATGCGTCGCGGACGGTCCGAAAACATCGACTTCTCGCAACAGCTGGATGATTTCATGGAGGCGGTGCGCGAAGTATACCAATTTTTCTTGCTGTTATTTCTATTTCATTTCTCAACCTCTAAAGTGATACAACGCATGAAATTTGGTTAGCTTATTTCGTTTTTCGGGTAACTACATTAACAGCTGTAAATAAATACCAGTTGTAAATAAATAATATACGTTAGATAATATTGTGGCCATCGAATCGAATCACGAATCAACGCTATTGGCTAATCCATTTTCGAGTGGATTTGATTGGCTCTTACAGAAAGGACAAGTTTACAGTAATCAAACAATCAGAACTCCACGTTCGATTCAATATTTACTACTAGTACTACGTAGACAAGAAGTTTATACTTCGATGTAGTGAATTCACAATAATTCGAAGTATAACTTCCAGCCTTGGATTTGGCCAGCTGGAAGGTTATATATACTACGTAGTAGATGACACGCACCATACTACGTACTAGTATATATATGCACCATACTACGTACTAGTATATATACGTATGGGCGCAGTTCCGGAACCGGTATTGTTTCTTAACGAGGAGAATTAATGCAGTTCGTTGAACTTAAAATCATGTCGAAATTCGTAGTAGTGTTGATGGAAAATGAATTAAAAGAGTGAAAATATCCATAGGCTGAAAACAGTTCAAAAATTGCGTCTGATTGGCTGAAAATTTCAGAGTGATTGTTTTCTACCAATCATGCATCGTGGCACGGAACTAACAGTGTAAGTTGTCACGGAACTTCGCCCATACGTAGAAGCATAATATGAATAGTACATACAGTAATCGCAAAATGGGTTTTTTCATGCGGAAAGGAAACCTACGTACCAGATTATTAAGCGGAACCCAGTCCATGAAGCGGACAACGTCGTACGAGTACAAGTGACAATTTTTCCACAAGGACAAGGTCTTAGAAGTTGGAATAGTCCGGTGGCTTCCATTCGTGCTCACAACCTCGCATGCTTTAAACGCTACTTAAGCGGTCATGTTGACACGATCGACGAGGATGTCGTTGTGTACCTGACCCCGTCCAACACGCTTTCAAACCTCACCGACGAAGCAATCCATGTCGTTTTGAATCGTCCTCGGTTGTTCCAGACATTCCATGGCATGCCTTGCCGCAGCTACGTGAGGTTGTACCTAGAATAGTAGCTGTCCAAGACCTGTTGTTGGACCGTCGTATTGCCAAACAAAACATCTGCGAGATCAGATAGCAGTTGCTTTTGGCTCGCCGCAGCGTCGGAGATGAAGACCCGTCAGTTGTAAATTATGATACGCCATTACCCCACTCGAGTTTGCCGTCCGGTGGCGTTAACCTGCCCAGTTGAACAGGGCCAGCCGCAAGTTCCGCGTGAGTTGCAGCTGGCCTTTCCATGCATTTACACAACGATTCGGTCACGAATGGGACACGAATGGGACACGCTTTCATTCTTGTTGGCGTCCGATTCAAATAAAGTGACACAAACGGCGATGAGGTCAAGTCCTTTGTAAAGCTGAACTCGTTCGAGTACAAATCGGTGGGCAACGTGACCAAGAAGGTCAAGTCCATCGCCATGACGAGGTGATCGCCATCACGACGTCAGACATGCCACCGCGGTACACGGTAATGTAAATGGGGGCTGGTCGTCAGGGTGATTGAATCACTTTGGTGTTGAGTTGCACGACAATGTGATCGGGGTACTGGTATCCTGGGAAAGCAAAAAGACCCACGGTTTGCCTTTGCTGTTGGCAACCATCTCAGGGTGGACCCACCACAGCATGTAAAACGCTGACGCCACGTCCAATGACACATACCCTTGTTGTTGAATCACGAAGCGGGTGAAATCTTCGAGCACCAGCAGGCTGTTTTGCATGAGGAACTCCAGGCATGTCATGTCCACCAGCGCCCAGTTCGACGGCAGCGGCGGCAATCCATAGTCGTACACCCCAAATACCGACGTCTGGATGTTGATGCAGCTACCAAAGGCGGCGGCCACAGCCCCCACGAGTTTTAGAAGCGGCAATGGCCCAAGGAATTTAAGCGGCAGTTTGCAAAACATACGCATTGTAGTTCATCGTTTAGTGTACATGGCGTGTCGGCGTGCCCACGTGTGTCCTTTGACAGTCGGAACAAATGGCACGAGGGTGTTGGTGGGGTCGTATTCCTTGAGTACGTCAAACACTCGTTGGTAATGTGGTGTACCAAGTGCCCAGCTCTCTTGAGGGAAGTCGAGGGGGTCGACGACAGTCTTGGACTTTCTTTGGACTGTTCCAGCACGTGATGTTGGTTAATCCTCTCTTGGTGAAGAGGGTGGTGTTGTGGACCCCCGTAGGCCCCCGCCGACAATCACAATGTGCTTGTGGCGACCTATGTTGACGACAGAATGGTCTGGAGCAGTCGCCACGGGGTGTACGACGCACGCTAATAAACCTGCGACGGCGACCAATATCCGATGCAGAAGCATGATGCGTGATGGCCTGTGCGTTTTGCAATGTGATGGGAAGGACTGCTGGGCCTTTTGTGGACGCGACATTGCTGAGGCAGTACAGTGCTCTAACATGGGGTACTGTACTGTCTACACACCTCGACCCCTTGCTTCTATGAAATACATGGCTGTAATGCCATTTCATATACGCATTTATGTGGATGCAAGTTAAGAGGCCAAGTACAACTTGTGACGTTATGCATATTGGTCTTCACTGTACCTTGGCCAATGACGCATCCACTGTCGGCAAGCTGACCCAAAAAGAAGCTAAGTTCAGTGTGCCGTTAATTGCTCACCCCAACTGCACCAGATACACAGTAAACCAGCGTGGGGCGTAGAGGACTACTACGCAGTATGTCTACTCATTCAACCCTCTCATGTGGTCGAGATGGCGACGTACTTGTCTTCAGTAACATCAAAATATGGGGCGGTCCACATGAACGAACATCGAGCATGCATTCATACATCGCTTGAGGTTCATACGTATCACGTCTTTCGGATCAACTATGAAAAAGGGCAATCTCGATCCCCGGTGTATAAAACCCACAAACGATCGCATCTGACTAATTCTATGGGAAGTAACATGTCCACGTAGCTCAAATTGTACGTTGAGGCTTTCGCTTGGTTTTCAAGTGCGATGAGAAATCGCACCCCTTTGAATGAAAATCCACGATAAAACCGTCGCTCTTTCATGGCTAAAGATAGCACGTCCACACACCCCAGCGCAGTCCTGGTGGATACCAACTGCCTTGATAGATACAGTATACCCCCCCCTGCCCCGCCAGTTCATCTTGATCGATGGTGAGCGCAAAGGAACGAAAGAAGAACATCGTTGAGCGAAAGCTTCGGGACCTCAGTACTATCTCAGGGCGGTACCAAAGGTACAATCATACCCCCCCATCTTGGTTACAACACGGAAAATGGTCGTGTGACTGGCAGCTCGTTTGTGCACCGCAACGTGCATGACAAGTCACGACATCCCCGAGATATGGTATATGGCCGACCGTGGGAATCTCTCTTTATGCGTAAGTCCCGGCGAGAGCGAAGGGTACGCTCCCCTCCCTGTGACCACCGTACCTTATACATCATATCCAATGTGACTGGGATGTCGTAGAACCTGGTCAAGCGGCCGTGGGACTACCCGATGGGGGCTCAACATCTCGCGGCCATTGTGATCCAGGTACAAGGCTAGTGCATTATTCCTAGGACATTATGACACGAACTACTGACCACTAGAAACGGGTTCGAGGGCTGCTGGCTCGATTGTCGCTGCAGGTAGGTACAACAGCAATGTCCCAAGTTGTGACGTACTATATCGTGCATTCTATGACATATATCGCAGGGGTTGCTCCGCAGTCGCAAGAAAAAGATGAAGATGGGCCTCATGCATCGCTTTATCGCGTTGCACAATGGGAATTTCGAGGACAAGGAGCATTTCCGCCACTTTTGCGCGTCGCGGTTGCAGGTAGGTCCGTTGTCAACAGTCGTCCATCACGTTGCTTTTCTAACATCGACTGATGGAAGGCCTGGTACAAGATGAAAAACGTCCGGTGGCGTTACCACCTCGACCGCCACCCAATGTACCACATTGCCGCCATGCAAGTACGATCTGGTGTTGTCATTGGAAATGCTGCTGTCCCTCTTTGAGCAAATACGTGGTATAGATTCAATACAAGTGGCGCATGTTCTTTCAACGCACGCTTGTCCATGGCGACGTGACCCCCCGCGAACGCGCCGTGATCCGCATCCAAGCTGCGTGGCGGTGCTACACGAACCGCCGCATCTACCGGTACTACCGCGACCTGATCAATTTCCGCAACTCGGGGGACCCCATGGTCATGCTACGAGCGATCAACCCGTCCGAGGCGTCGCTCTTGGACGCGTCCACGAACGCCCAGGTGCGTGCGTCAGATGTCGTGGCTTCCGTCCCTCCAACTTTCCCCATCCAGCCCCCCCCATCACCCCCATCTCCCATGGTACTCGTTTAAGCCGTGTTTCCCCATTTGTTCGTTTAGGTACGGTTCCGACTGGGGGGATCAGCGTTCCCCCCTACCATTTACTACAAAATCTTCACGCGGGGCGCCGTGTGTGACATGAACGCGTTCAGCCCAAAAGACTATACCACGGCCCGACAAATTGGCCCCCGCAACGTCAACATTCGGCCTTCGCGTCCAGGTAGTGTTGTTATATTGTTGTGTTTAACACAACCAAATATATGTACAGAAGAATCATCGGCAGAAGTATGTAGCCAATCAGATTGCAGAACAAGTCATCCACAACATATAATTAGTGTGTGACTACAATTAGTGTGATACCTATCACCACAGGACACCAGTTTTCATACAACATTTAGTACAATATTCATAGTTACCACAAAAGTCCAAAAGAAATGTGTTTTGGATAAAAGGACACATATACCGGACAGGGTAGCATTGCGTTGCGGCAAAAGTTTTGCTCCAGATGAAAAAAACAGATTGGCAGTTTTGGAATGCAATCGCCAATATTAACAATGAATGGACAGGCGTGGGCGTAACCAAGATCATTCGAGTGGGCAATGCATACTACGGCGCCACCCAGTGCGGCACCAACACTGGTGGGTGGTACCGTCGGTGGGACAACAACGGATGGCGCCCCGTGACTTCCAAAGTGATTGCCCCCACCACCGACATTGACCCTATCACGGTAACATACAGCCCATCCCGAATATTTCAACTCTTGTTTCTTTTCACTTGCAGTGTTCAGGTTTTTCATGGTTTTGAATACTACAATAAACATATTCAAATTGCCATTCATTTTGGTTTTGGACATTGGAATAGGTGGCGACGGCGAATCGACCTCGGGCGTATCATCACTTGCGAGTGGTGCGCCAGCAGCAAGTGATCCGCCAGCGCAAGGAGAAGAAGCGCCAGTGGATGAAGCAACTCTACATGTACTACTTACTATATAACTCGATGGAGTTCTGTTAGCGCTTCCGACGACTTTTGGTCCCGTGATGAATTGTCCAAATTAAACCATGATTTAGATGACTAACCCTGTGGGATTTGGGAGTATGAGTGACAAGGATGGTATGTATGTTATATAGGGACCATTTGCAAGGAAAAGCCAGCGACAACAACAACACCGACATTGTGGCGGCTGCGGAGCCAGCCATCGACTTTGATTCACCAGATTGGGAAGCTCAAGCGACGGACATGTTCAACGTAAGGTACGATGCCAAGAAATTGGACTAAATCGGTGGTTGTAGTGGGCCGACAAGTTGGATTTTGACGATTACGTGGCCAACTGGACGACGTTGGGCACTACCACCACGGTGCAAGACGAACTGCCCCTGGTGACATAAATATACTCGTTGGAGTATCGAATAAAACACTCTAATATTTCAAAGAACTCTTACTCCAAATACATAGCAAACAAACGTCATGGCTAGGAGACTCCTGAAATTATTGAATGCCTATTCCATCGACGTATATATAGGTAGTGTATGCGAGTACACTCTTGACAAGGATATAAATGCGATCCGATGGTCCTGTTCGGGGATAAAAATTCACACAACTGCACTGCGATCGATATCTAACTAACTTGTAGCTGTAAAGTGAACATTTGCAGCGTACATAATAAATATTACCTGAAGTACTATTAATACGTTGTACTTGAAGCAGTACTATTAATAGTACTTCTTTAGCCTTTTGAATTTATATAAAAATACTGCATTGGATGAATACTACCGGTAGAAGAGTACTCTTGAGGGTTTTGTATTAGGATAAAAAACTAAAATAATTATATTGGGGGTACATATACTACCGGTAGTATGTAAACAATATGAGTACATCATTCATCGCATTTTCAAACGACTTGGCCAATATGGGAAGGAGCGTGTTCCAGCACCACCACACGACACACTTCCTCCGTCTCACAAAATGTTGTGCGCGAAGTATATAAGTATATATTGTGGATTCGATTCGAATTTCCAGACCCCGTCGAACGAATCTCGCCGCCGAATCGGACCACGAATCCACGCTATTGGCTAATCCATTTTTTTTAGTGGATTTGATTGGCTCTTGCAGAAAGGACATGTATATTCAATCAATCAGAACTCCAGCGTGATTCAATATAGATTCGACAAACCAGGCGAATTTTGGAAGTTTATAGCGAATTCACAATAATTATACTCCAAAGTAATAGGTCATACCGTATTCATGTCGGTATTCTAAACTTGTAACTTATGGTTATATACCAAGTAGTACAAAAGAAAGACGCTTGCAATATATATACACATGTTTGTAGTGTATATCGTCGTTAGTTATCGAGTGGTGGTAGTAGTAGGTCATCGTCGGTGATGGGGGCGCCAACAGCTCCATTTACAGACGCGTGGCACTCGACGCCGACGGATTCGCGGAACGTTCTCGGAACGAACCAGCAATGGCCCCGCTCCAGACCTCCGATCGTCGTCGCATTCCACTCGAGTCCGCCAAATGTCCACTGGTCATCAAACGACACAAATTGCACCTTGAGCCAATCTTTCGAAAAACTCAGCTCCATAAACCCGTACGGGTTGCCTTCAACCACCCATTTTCTATTGTCAAATATATATATATATATTACAACGAATATATACAAGGATATAGTATAGATATAGAGAGATACATACGTTTTTACTTTGCCATTGTCCATGGCAGGGATATTGGACGTGGAGATGCCGCCGCCGCCGCCATTTTGAAAAAAGTGCGTGCCCCATTTTGCAATGTCGTGGTTGAAGCCATGGGTATGTCCGTTGAACCACGCCGCGACGCCAGCTTCTCGGCATAAGTTGTACCTATAGATCACATATATATAAATATATAATAATAATAATAATAAAATTCTGTCCTTCCCGCAGTGTATACAAGTGATTTAAAAAATAGAAATTTAATATAAGTGATTCAATAAACAAAGTTTGTAGTGTCCAAAATTATCAATCGTGGATTCATTCAGGGGTCCAACTATATCGACAATCATTTTGCATTCATATTTTGGTCACAAACATAGTGCAGTATCGCGGATTCGTCATGTAGTATTATAATATCAATCCATACATGTGACCTGCTGCTCTCAGCCCCAAGAATGCGTTGTCGCATAACAAAATATATAAATATATAGAATAAAACGTCCACGAACCCATCAACCATCGTACCACTTGTCCATTTTCACCGGGTCCATGTGATAATGCGGAGAGTAATGCGTGTTGACGATCTTGAACGTAGCTGTCGACGCCTTCATGTCGGCCATCGCTCGTGTGAGGCTCTCGTTTGCCCAGCTTTCGATCTTGGCCACACATGCGTTGAACAGTGTCACATTTCCGCCGACGCAGGCCACGTCCCCGGGCTGCGGGTCGTTGCATACCCCTGTGTCGAGGCCGAGCTGCGACGCGTACCCGTAGCACTGGCAGCAAACGTCCTTGGACCCGTGGTTCTCTGCGTGGTTTGTGTCGACATTGTACACTTCGACGCTCACGTCATTCTTGACAATGCGCTCGACATAGTAATGGCCTCGGAGGTTCCATCTGCATATGATGATACAATGGAGTTTCCATGAGCCGACAACTACTAGTGTATATAAATGTAGTAGGAGGAGTAGTAGTTCAATCAGTAAGAAATTCTTTTTCGAATTCAAAAAGATTTAAAACAGTATTGTGAATTCGCTATAAACTTCCAAAATTCGCATGGTTTGAAGCTAATCAATATTGAATCACGCTGGAGATTCTGATTGGTTGAAAATATCCTTGTCTTTCTGTAAGAGCCAATCAAATCCACTCAAAATATTGGATATTAGCCAATAGCGTCGATTCGTGATTCGACAGGGTCTGGAAATTTGTACCGAATATACCACAATATTCATTCTAAAATTGAAAATATGAAATAAAAATAATTTTGAAAAACACCCAGCTTGGTTCCATATATCATTTGGCCTTCCAAGTACGATTACAGTAATACTGGAGTTGAATCGTTGAATGAATATTTTTACCAATGGGTAGTAGGTGAGAATGTCCTAGCCAATCAAAGCGCACGAACGAGAAATTGCATCCAATCACCGATTAGTCTAGTGTATACCATACATTGAAGCAGCTTCAAATCTGACTACTCAACACAAGTCCAAATGGCTGGCTGGCAGCATAAACCACACGGAATTGGTGTGTGTGTGACAGAAAATAGTGTGAAAACTCTCGGGCGATATTTCGGCTAAGTGAACAAGCAATCGTACCGGTTATTGTAAGGGCTCGTATAATTCGCTTGGGCTTCAAACCGAATGTCCAAGTACGCTAGCAGCTCAGCTTCGTCTTTGCACTCGCGGTACGCGCCGTCGGCCTCGCCGCAGATGAACGTGGCGCCGCCAATGTCGTGGTTCCCGGCCACGTTGAGCCACGGAACGTTTTGCAGTGTCGACGCGTTGTAGACCTTTTCAAACGTTTGCTCTAGTCGGTAGTTGGCATCGCCGGTGCCGACGCCGTTCCAGTAGAAGTTGTCGCCGTGACCCAAAATGCGGCTTGGGTGGAGTTCCGCGGCAGACTGCGCCATGAGCTCCGCCACGTACGCTTGCGCGTAATAGTCGACTTTGTATCGAGTGTGCCGGGTGTCCACCCCGCCTAACACACAGCGCAGAACCCATGACATGATGAAGGAAGTAGAATGGACGAGATGTTGTACCGTTGTACAATTGACAGCACGAGCCAGGGTCACCTTTGTCCTTGCCGAGGGTGCCACCCCAATCCCCAATCGCGAGGAACGTCACTTCGGGGACGGACGTCTCCGGGTTCACCAAATGGGTTCGCGACACGCGCAGGGACATGGCCCCGTCGACTTCGAACGAAGCACGCGACGATGCGGGGTCGATGCGAAGAGAGGATGACGAAGGTGATGCGGATGAAGACGCGAGAAAGATCCACCCAGCACACGCAGACACACTCACGAGTCCAACCTTGGCCAGCGTCGACGGCGCCACCCACTACAAGCGATAGATGAGGACATGACAAGAGATGAGTAGGAAGAGCATCGTACTGTGGCGTGGGTATGCTTTGGCTCCAGAAGTCCCACGGACTCGTTCTTCTTCTTGACAGAGAGAGACTGCATCATGTGTGCAGGCTGGCGCAAAGATCGCAATGTGATATCGACGTGGGTTCGAGTTGAACCTATGGGAGCGACACTGTTGTCGTCGTATTTTTATTCCGTCAACAAAATTTGATTGGATTAACCTATTGGATTCAACCTGTGTAAAAAAAAGTAAGATCAGGCAGTAGTTCGATACTGATTTGGCAAACAATCGATATCGTTCCAGTCGCCAGTGTGATTTTTGACTTGCTGTTTGTATACACGCCCGGTTCAAACCTACATTCCCGACTTGAACCTGCGGAGATTCAATCTCGGCAGTTACAAGTACTCGTTACATGTACGGTATACCAAAAGCCACGTCGACCTTATTTGACGTGGTAGCCCAGAACAATCCACTCGCTCGCGCCACAAACCTTCGTGTCCATCAACGTCTTCCTCTTCCCAGCGTCTTTTGCATCTGTACATGATGTCTCTTGCAGTGGACCACCGGCGTTGAATCTCGCCGTCTTCTTCCAAGTGTCGTTATGCATAAGTAGGTAGTACGTGCGTGCTTGGCAGAAAAGGAATCCACAGAACATGCAACCTCCAGTCGTCAGGACATCTTCCAAACAACGGCATGTTCTTGCCAACAAGGATGGGAAAGGGTTGGTAACTCGTAACACATGCATCCGTGCGGTCTGTACGGGTAGGCTACTGTATCTCGTACAGCTAATACCGGTTACCGTCCGAGAGGGGACTCTGCGGCGATCATCATGTATGCGTCGATTCCACTTCAACGTTGAGCCCATAGATTTCGAAACCCAATATATATATATATATATGTAGTGTATGTACGCACACACTGCACCGCTTTGTTGAAGGTTAATCTCGTTCGTACTATAGGTTCAGTACCAGGTAGTGTACCTACACTAGTACGTTAGTTAATCTTCCATGTGAGCTCCCATAGCTACATTCACTGACGCACGACACTCGACGCCACCATGTGCTTGAAACATCCGTGGAATGAACCAGCAATAACCCCGTAGGAGCCCACCCACGACCGTCGCGTCCATGTCCATCCCTCCAAACGTCCACTGGTCGTCGAACGTGGCAATTGCACTTGCAGCCAATCTTTCGAAAACCGGAGTTCCATAATCCTGTATATATTGCCCACCACACGCCATTGACTACATACCCACGACGTCAATCTCAGAGGAAATCCAATAGATATCGAGAACGCCCGTACTTTTTGACCAACCCTTTGTTCATACCAGGCAAGTTGCGCGTCCAGTAGCCGCCGCCGCCGTTTTCAAAAAAGTGCGTGCCCCATGTCGCAATGTCGTGGTTGAAGCTGTGTGTGTGGCTGTTGAACCACACCGTTACGCCTGCTTCACGACACAATGTGTACCTACATATATATATATACACACGTACAACAGACCAACAAAGTCATGTACTGTAGTACTTCGAAGTACTACAGTTGTCTAGTATTAGGTACTAGGTACTGTACATGTACTAGTAAGTATACCATTGCATCATCTGACTCGAGTTCATGTGGTAATGCGGCGAGTAATGTGTGTTGACGACCTTGAACGTGGCCGTGGACGCTTTCATGTCGACCATCGCTCACGCATAAGAATCCTTTGCCCACGCTTCAATCTTGTCCACACAGGCATCCAGCATCTCGCGATTGCCGCCGGCGCAGCCAAGATCGCCAGCCATAACATCGTCGCACACTTCAGTTTGGTTGAGTCCAAACTTGGCCTCGTAGCCAAAGCATTGACAGCAAACGTCCTGGACGCCGTGTTGTACCGCGTGATTCGTGTCCAAGTTGAAGATGTCTACGCTGACACCGTCCCTGGCCACACGCTCGACGTAGTAGTGGTCTCTTAGCACCCATCTACACAAGTGTGGATTACTATTAATAGTAGTAGTACATGCATTTGTGCCGTCGTCTATGTCGGGGCTATATACTATTAATATTAATAGTACATACACTACTAGTACTACTAGTAGTACGAAGGCTACGTTAGGTATGTACCGGTTGTGATGGGGACTCGTGTACTTGGCCTGGGCTTGGAACCGAATGTCCAAGAATTCTACTAATTCGTCCACAGAACATTCTCGGAAGTGTCCATCGGCGTCCCCACAAATGAAAGAATTGCCGCCGAGGTCGTGGTTGCCGGCCACGTTGAGCCATGGAATGGCCCGCAGACTCGGCGCGCTGTACACGTTTTCAAACGACTGCTCCAGTCGGTACTGTACGTCGGCCGTGCCCACACCACTCCAGTAGAAGTTGTCGCCGTGGCTCAGGTGCGCAATGGATGGAGTTCAGCCGCAGACATGGCCAGCAGCGCCGCCACATATTCTTGGGCGAAAGAGTCGACTTTGAACGGGGATTCGTCAAGTCGATGGCTCCTACGATCAAGCATGATGGCACGGAGCGAATTTGTACGTGGATTGAGTTGCAGTTATGCACCGTTGTACAGCTTGCAACAAGTGCCAGGAATGCCCTTTGTTTTGCCCAATGTGCCTCCCCAATCTCCAATGGCCAAGAAGGAAAACGCTACCGCCGACGTTTCTGGGTCCGCCAAGGCAGGGACTCGTGCATACGACGATGCGACGACGTTTCCAGTCGTCGTGGCCAATGCCGGAAGGTACACCTTGTGTACAACGACAAACGACACCACCATACATGTGGCAACGACGGCAGCTAACGCGGACACTTTGGTCTTGAACTATGAAACCACCACCACACGCACGACGTCGGCCTTCCATGCAGACAACAGTGCATGTGTGGTTGAGCTTTACGTTACCGCATAGCGCTTGGTCGTAGTCGTGGCGTCGAGTAGAATACTGGATTCCATCATAATCTTGCTTTGGTGGCGCTACGGTGCTCGCGCCGACAACGATCGCAACAGTAGACTTTAAGAGGCAAAACGAATAAAACCTGAGGTTTAATTCAGGTAAAAGCGGGGTTTCAGGGGTTTTCATTATTCTCTCAGTATTTTTACCAAGACTTTGAACTCGCAACGTTACGATAATACGTTGAACTATATAAAACCTGGGTTAAACCTCAAAATAAGTCTACACAAATGTGTTTTTTATGTGGCTCACTCACAGCTTTGACTTCCTACTGATGCAGCAGCTATTAATAGCAGAATAGCACCTGATTCACAAGCGCAGTGAGCCCCAACGGAGCCGTCGCGGCAATCAGCACCAGCCTTGGAGAGCTAGTTCGTGTCGGAACCATCGAACCCGCCACGAGCGACGCCGCCCACGTCGCCATGACGCTCCCTGCTACCACTGCATTGCCTCCATGGTCGTCCAGACACTTCAGCGACGTCAGCAAGTAGGGAGACACGACGACGGCACCGATTTGCAAGTACTCGTACGCTGCAGCGACCGCGTTCCGCGCGTTACGAGACAACCTCAATGGAGAACAGTCTTGCTTCACATGTATGTGTGGAATGCCCAACGAAGCTACCGCCGAGCGCAGCGCGTCGACGTCGGCGGAGTTGCATACCATCTTGACATAATGCAAAATAATGAATCCACGAATCAACGGGTAGCACTTACCTCGGTCACTCCATCTTGGCGAACATGGATGTGCGAAGCGCCTGCTTGGCTCTACTCGATATCAGTAAGACTATTGACCACGTTCATATCGCTTAGGGAGGAATCGCACCACTATGGACTGCGATGCAGGCCCCATGATATCCATGGGATTGCTGTGAACCTATTTGTAGAGTCCACATATGTTTGATGCATTGCCTGTCCACGAGCATTTGTACCTCGACAAGAACGTTCGGAGCTTCAAAAAGTCCAGGGAACAAGGTCAACATCGCACCACGAGAACGTTGCCGAGTGCGTGATCCCACAGGAATACGCGTGAACCCGTTGGATGTGGCAATGGGCAGGCGATGGTCGTGGACGTGTTTGATCTGTCGCTTCAGCGGCGCCAAACTCATCCTTCGACGATCCTGGTAGTGCAGCGGACGTACGCTCAAAGCGTGTGGGCTCATCTTCATGAGCTGTGGTGGTGGTGCCCATGGTGCTGACGACGCTGCAGCAGCGCGGACAGTTCGCAAAGCGCCCTGCACTCGAAACATATTTTGCACATTTTATACATTTAGAATGCCCTTTAAAATGTGCAAGTTTTTAAAAGCCCTTTGATACAAGAACTTTAGGGTGGTTGTAACGAGGGCACCAATCACGTGGCGATACATGGTGGCGACTGACTTTAAGGATCATCATGGGCAACAGCGACTCCAAGAGCAAGTTCCGCGAATCGGTGTACAAGCTGAGCAATGAGGAGGTGGCCAGTCGCCAGCTCGAGTTCTGGGACAAGCTGTGGAAGATCCCGACAACGGCCGAAGAGATCTTCACGCTTATCCAGCCCGACGACATTCGCATGCTGCGGCAAAACCAGCAGGGAAACCTCAGCACCATGTTGACCCAAGCAATCTCGCAGCTCCACCAGATCGTCGAGACGCCCTTGCCAAAGTACTATCCCCAAGCCGTCAACTGCATCCGAGTGCTTACCCGTGTCATGCCATTCATCCTCGAGGTACCGTCGTCGACTTGACGCAAAGCTCCCTTTTTCCTCACGCGTCTATCTATCTCCGTCAGGACCGATCGGACGAGTTTGTCCAACAACTGCTGTGGGGCCCGCCACCCAACGTCAGCACTACGACCGACGCGTCCGATGGCGACACCAGCGCGGTACCTATGAGTTTGGCACAGAAACTTGTGGATGCGACCCTCGGCCTGCTCTTCTTACCCGATTTTACGGTAGTACCAACCATTCCACCATGTTCATGTCTATGACGTCAGCTAAGTTGATGCTTCGGGTAGGTGTCGGCTGGAGCTTACAAAGCATACCGCGACCAACTGTCGGCGTCGGCCAACAACAACGTCGTGTACCCTCCATTGCTATGGTACAACGGCGTGGGGTACCCCGATGTATCCGCGGTGGCGTCGGTTCAATTCGACAAGAACCGCAAGGAAGTGCTCAAGCTCCTGCTAACGTGCTTCTCCAGCATCCTCTACCATACTGCTGGTATTGTCTTTAAACTTGGACTACTTTAGTGCTGATTCTTTGCCAAATCTATCGATCGATTCTTTGTACTGAATTTTGTATGTATAAAGTGTTGTCCTGTGGGGATTGCAATCACACTAAATGAATTCACACACTATTTAAACGTTGATTATGGAATCTGATTGGCTCAATTCTTCTGTCCATTTGGTTGTGTCGATTCATTCTCCATGTTGCTCCAGTTAGTTAGAATAAACACAACCATACAAACTCAAGTTAAAGGATCTCCCGTCATCTTTCTAGATGGTTCATTTGGGCATTCATGATATTGGCATCCTATTATATTGTGATGTCGAATAGGAGCATGTCTTTATATATATATTAACCAGTTCGTGGTAGATTTGTGTATATATACTTAATATATACTTCGAAGTATACATGAAGTGAGTGTTCATGGTAGATTCATGTAGTGTATATATATATATTAATCGGTTCATGGTGACCGTAGTTTATATATATACTAGTATATATTATTGATTTGGTCCGAATTTCCGGACCCCGTTCAATCAAATCACGCTGACCAAACCGATCACGAATCGCTCCCATTGTTCTCTCTAAAAATACTCGTTTCTGATTGGCTACATTCTTTTTTCGTTGTGCTTCTGGGGAAAGCCAATGAAATGTCGCTTGGCGAGAGCATTGATTTTACGAATCGCAGAGAATTGGGAAATTTGTAGCAAATTAACTGTAAAACTATATATTGCGGATTCAGTACAAGTGTCCAGTCCCCGTGGAATCGAATCTCGCTGCCGAATCGAATCACGAATCGACGCTATTGGCTAATCCATTTTTGAGTGGATTTGATTGGCTCTTACAGAAAAGACAAGTATATTCGACCAATCAGAACTCCAGCGTGATTCAATATTGATTAGACCAACCACGCGAATTTTGGAAATTTGTAGCAAAGTCATACTACAATATATCTGAACCCTGTGTTGCGGTAGATTCGTGCGAAGCATATGTCGATCCATTCCTAGCTTTCGCGACACGAAAGAACTCGCGATTTGCGCCGACATTGTTCTACTCCCTTGTGAACGTCACGCTCTTGTACGATCCCGTGGGCTGGGGCGTGCCATATGCTGGCTCAATCGTTGCGGATGAACGGGAAACTTTGGTGGATGTGTCCATTCAGGTAAGTAGCTCGTTGAGATTTATTTGTACGGGAAGCATCAAGTTGTTGTTTGTAGGTGCTGCTGGTGCTGCTCGATTTTGGGGCCCCTGCCACCAACGTGGCCCCCGAGGACGACTCGATTGCAGAGTTTGACTCGAACAACCAGTATCGGGCGCTGCTGTCGTCTATCCAGCGCGAGTACGTTTAATATATGTGTTTGATTGATAATTAAATGTGGACATGTGAAAAAAAAATACTCGAAAAAAAAACTAAAAAAACGACGAAAGTTGAGTCATAACGTGTGGACAAATGAGAAAAAAAATATCGAAATGAATATTTTTTTTTAAATGGGAGCAATGGACACTTGACACGGGAGTTTTGGTGTAGGGAAGATTTCGAGCTGCTTTTCAACGGTTTGGCCAAGTTGCTCAACAACTACCACCAAGCCATGAACACGTTGCTCCCAAACTCGATCAAACAAATCAAATGCCACCAGGTATGCATGTATATATAATATATATCTATATCTGCAACCTAAAAAAATGTAATAATGTTGTCCGATATTATTGTGGATTTTTTCGGTACGGATTGCAGACCCCGTCGAATATCGAATCACGAATCGACGCTAGGATTGGCTAATCCAGTTTTGAGTGGATTTGATTGGCTCTTACGAAAAGGGCACGTTTATCCAGCCAATCAAAGCCCCCGCGTGATTCCATATTGATTACAACCACGCGAATTTTAAACGTTTATAGCGAATATTGTCGATTTGATACAAATTTGGGGAGGGGGTGCAATCGAATCTGGCCGACCAAACCGATCCACAATCGATCTGATTGGTTGAATTTCATTTAGAAGGTTTTGATTGGCTAATAATGTTGAGCTCAAATGAAGTAGCCAATCAAATCGATTTAAATTCCAACGAGAAACCACGAAATTTCACTCGAAAGCACAATACAGTACTGTATATTCTCATCTGTTGGCGTAGGAACTACTCGTGTTGCTGTGGAAGTTGCTTGATGAAAACAAAGCGTTTCTCCAGTACACGTTGAAGCGCGCCGACATGAACCGCATCGTCGTGCCGTTGCTGTTTCTCATGTACGAAGGCCGCAAGGAACCGTCCAAGGTAGGTAGTAAAAGTGTCGGCCACTCTCTCTCTCTTGGATTCATTCGTGAATAGGTTGGGATGATTCACATTTGCACGTTCATTCTGCTGCTCCTGAGCGGGGAACGAGACTTTGCCGTCAACTTGAACAAACCGTTTGAGCTCAAGTTGCCGCTGGACCTGCCGCCATTCCACGGCAACCACGCGGACCTGCTCATCGTGTGTCTGCACAAGGTGATTGTGAATGGCTACGAGAAGCTCAACTCGGTGTACAACTGCTTCCTCACCATCGTGAGCAACATCTCGCCGTACGTGAAGAAGCTCAACATGGTGTCCAGCGTCCGCCTTCTCCGCCTCTTCAAGCTGTTTTCGCAGCCGCGGTACCTTTTCGACAACGACGCCAACCACCACCTTATCTTTTTCCTTCTCGACACGTTCAACAACTTGATCCAGTACCAGTACGAAGGTATAAAACATCTCGTTGCAGTAGTTTTGTCCTCAAGTTTGTATGTCAACATGTATCTATCCGTTCATTCACAGTAATTTTGAAGTCATACACTAATTTGTGATGTTGAACAGTATATTTGATTGGCCACTGGATTTTCGTGTGTGGCTGGGTTTTGATTGGTCGATCGATTCTCGATTTCGAATGGAGCATCATCATCACCGTCGATCGCGGCTGGATGGACGGACTTCAATGCGGTGATCGTGGTGTTCACCATGGGGGTTGAGTAGGCAACGAGCAGCTCGTGTATGCGATGGTGCAGAACAAGGATCTGTTCCAGAAGCTCAATGCGCTCGCCATGCCTGCTGCTTCCGCCCACATTGCTCCGACAACCGCGACCCCCAAGGCCCAAGACAGCTTGGACGAAGTGGATGTCGTGCCGTCCGTGGCCGCGCTCACGGCACTTACGGACGTGAGTGGTGATGACGTGGCAGCGCCTCCGGTCGTCGTGCCAGTCAAGTTTACCCCGACGGACGAATGGTTGCAAGGATGGAAGAAGAAACTCCCGATCAACACGTCGCTGCGGCTGCTCCAGTACCTCGTCCCGCAAGTAGGACGAAGACGGAACCATGTTGATGATGATGAATAAGGTAATAATGTTGGTGATAATAGTTGGAAGATGCGTGTGAAGTGGCGTCCGGGGGCAGTCTGGATGAAGCCGCGATCCTCGTGTTCCTTCGAAGCACGACCATGGTATCGATCTCTTTATGACGAAGACAACACATGGAAACATGGGGTTGTTGTAGGTGGGGCTGCTGCCGGTGCCGCATGCGATTGTCATTCGAAAGTACCAAACCAACCAGTTTACAAACCTGTGGTTCACGACATTTACATGGGGCGTGATCTTTCTGCGCAACCAAGGTATGATGATCAAATCAGCATTTAGTCTTGGGGGGCTCATGTGACGTGTAGTGTTCCCGCTGTTTGACGGCGCGTCCATTACGCTGTTCACGATCAACGTGCTTTAGGGAAAATTGGTTGTTTGGGTGATATCATGGAGGACGTAAACCATGAAAACACAGCGCCGTTCGTCCTCGAGTGTGTATGTACATGGAGGGTAATCATGGGATGTACTTTTTCCCCATGGTATTTAAATCTAGACGTTGTGTGCATTGTTGAAGACGTGTTGCGAGTTGGGGTCGATGCATATGTAGGTAGATTTGTTGGTGTTCATCAGTGCAATACTCCCATAAAGGGGTGTCTCCTCAATGTAATTCAGAGCAGATCTTGGTTTTAGCAACATCACATGAACGCTAGCAGTCGGTTGGTGATCTACCTATTCCTCCACCAAAGATAGTTCCTACAACTGTTCATACGTAATTCATCAGTGCAGTACTCCCAATAAAGGGGTGTCTCCTCAATGTAATTCAGAGCAGATCTTGGTTTTAGCAACATCACGTGAATACAGCCGCAGACTACATGCTACAGCATGAGGTTGGTTGGCTACCTGACCTCATGCACTACACCAAACACATGCATATCAAGGGTTGTCCATCAGTGCAGTACTCCCATATAGGGGTGTCTCCTCAATGTAATTCAGAGCAGATCTTGGTTTTAGCAACATCACATGGAGGCAGGCACTTCTACTCGACGTGGCAAATTCGAAACTGTGAACGATTCCTCGTCACCAATTGATTCAAAAGAATACTTTTGCGAAAACAGAGTTTCGAGAAAGGTACTTTTGAAACAAGGACTTTATCGAATGCTCGTACTTACGATGAGTTCGCGCGTTTCGCCATTTCGCATTTGAATACACAGATTGCCGCGGCGATGGCGAGTCTTGATCCGCTGGTGCAGCGTGTCCTCTCGCAGCAGCGACAGCTGAATCGTCAGGCTGACATGTACGACTGGAACGCGCGGCGAGAAGACATTGTGGATGATGACGATATGATGCCGAGTCAAATGATCCGCGAAACTGTGGAAGAGTTGGACGACGACACAATCTTCGATGCCATGCGAATCATGTACCATAGCGAGGCGTTGATGGATCTGCTAGACCTGGTCAAGGGAACATTCCGTGGGTCGACGCGGGGACTTGAGATCGTGAATGACCCCGTGCGGCTGGAGGTGCGTCGACGGACACTCGTGCTAGAACTGCTCAAGATCATGATGGACAGTCATGTGAAGCAGCGGAAGGGCCATACTGTGTTTTGCACGCAGCTCGTGGACATCTTGCGTCGAGAAATCGACATCTTGGACATGCCTAGCTTGCCGCTGCTCATCGAACACATCCTCCATTCCATCGAGCAAGCGTACCGCAACCAAGAAGAAACCGCCACGTGCGTCCCAATTCCCCTTCCCACCGTGGAACTCCTTCCGCATTTGTTTGGACGCATGATGTACTTTGCCAAGGTGCCGCTTCCTTCCACCATCGTGTCCAACTGGGACTTTAGCGACGGCGATCCGTGGACAGGTGTGTACCTCCTAGTCCCACATAATCATGCTGACGTTTCGTCACCTGTACGTACATGCAAGGGGCGTTCTACGTGAACAAGGCACTCGAACGACTGACGACAGCTCGATGGCCCCAGCGTCTGGTGTGCCAGGTAACAGTCGTCTCCGTCATGGATAGAATACCAATGCTTCTCCCCTTGTTTGCATCTAGTTGGTGGATGTGTTTCGCGAAATGGAATTGACACCAGTCCAGCATCATCGCATGTGCGCCAAATTCATCGCCCAAGTGGACGTCGAAATGACGGCGGCGGCGGACGACGACACGCAGCAACCGGACTTTGCCATGTTGCCCGGCCTTCTATACCATCTGCAGCTGTTCGTACAGCACACGCCGCCCGCCGTCAAGCGCGACGTGCTGCAGTGCTGGATCCAGTACATGCTGCGCCTGGCTACAGAAGCCAATCGCGTAGAAGCGCACCGGCGGCTCTTTGCGAATCTCCAGTTCGGCGCCCAGGAACTCCGGGCGTTTCAAGCGACCATGTTGTACCAGCTGGATAAACTCGTACTCCAAGACGAGTCGCTGGGCGGGCTGCTTCTAGAGTTGCTGCAACCGTCGAAAGGATGGACGTCCGTCCACGTCGCGCTCATGCTGTTGCTGCATGTCCACGCCAAGTTTGCCCCAGCTATCGACAAATTGTGTGTCCACGCGTTTGCAACCATGCCCGACCAAGGTATATATATATATATATATTGTGCTTTCAAGTGAAATTTCGTGTTGTGGCGTGGTTTCTCGTTGGAATGTAAATCGATTTGATTGGCTACTTCAGATGAGCTCAAAATTATTAACTCAATGAAATTCAACCAATCAGATCGATTGTGGATCGGTTTGGTTGGCGCGATTCGATTGCACCCCTCCCCAAATTTGTATCAAATCGACAATATATATATATTGTCCTTTTACCCCAAAAAATTGGAAATTTTTGTGGTGTTGATTGGCCCAACCTATGTATCGATCGATTATTCGTTTTGGAACCCTGACTTGTATATGTGAAGAAAAATGTGCTGTGGGTGATATGAATCACATAAATTCACAGGCATACATATATACATGAATTAGAAATTGATGAATGCTGGTTTCAAATATATATATATATATACTCGTGCATTTCACATCATATGCGACCTTGTACTAGTCTATTGTCGATACATTGGATGCATTCATTTGTATGTGATATCTTCTTTGACATCAATATGTGGGTTGTGCTAGCTTTATAACTCGTATCGAGTAAGATTCATACTCTACAGATCTAGCCCATGTGTGATGTTATTACACCTTTTCAGTGTTGTACTTGACTTCATCACGTGGTATGTATGGTCTTGTAATTGTGTATTTAGTACAAATTTCCAGACCCCGTCGAATCGAATCACGAATCGACGCTATTGGCTAATATCCAATATTTTGAGTGGATTTGATTGGCTCTTACAGAAAGGGCAAGTATAGTCAGCCAATCACACACTCCAGCGTGATGCAATATTGATCAACCATGTGAATTTTGGAAGTTTATAGCGAATTCACAATATTTTTCTCTACAACTTTGTATCCCTAACTAATATCATGCCTGTGGTATGTACATATATAGCCTTGTTACATTGTCAAACGTTCTTTGCCCTATATATTTATTTCTACGACAGGACTGAAACATACTGGAATTAGATACAAACACTCGTTTAGTACAAAAAGCTAGAGAATATCATTTTTTCCATATTTGAAAATTTTAAACCTATATTTGATTTACTAAAATATCATAGAATTAGACGACGACGAGGTTCTTGAACCGAAATAACACATTTATAATAAATATATAGTTTGAAAACACACACACATATGGATTTTATTTTTATTGAATTCGGATTCTCTTTATAATAGATAGCTGTCGCCAAATTCTACTTTCGAGGCAGTCTAACTCTATGAGGTTAATATACAGTTTTATCATATATTTGTGGTATATATCATGGATGGTCGTCGTGGTCGTTCGTATATGCATACGTATCTGACTGCCCGCTGAGTGATTTTAACTTTACAGCGTAATATCAATAGATATCTGACTGGGGGGATGGATGTATTCATTTTTCGTATGGCGTAGACGCGGCTTTGTCCATGTTTCTAGACGTGATCGCGTCGTCAGCCCAAGGTCAAGTGGAATCTCTCGTCATGAGCGCAGTTGCAGTCGGGTTTGTATGTCTGACCAGCTCGCCACCTTCTTGTTTAAAGCAGTCGTCGTCTCCATCTGTTGTGGTTGATCTTGGCATCCAGGTCCTTCGACATGCATTCCACCAGCATCCGTTTGTGCGCACGTCCATATTGGACAGACTCACCACGGCGCTACGGCAGCATGTATCCTCCTCCTCCTCTATTGACAAGATCAACAACCTCGTCGTCCCCATCCACGTGTTCATTCTCGCGCCCGTCAAGCTCTTGGCAACGCTAGTCGACACCTGTCTCCTCGACCTGGACGCGCCGTTGCTCGACCGAGTCCGCGACTTGATTGACCACCTCCCGGCGTTCCCCCTGCACGTGGCTACACCCATCTTGGCCGCCCTTGGCCCTCTATTGCGCCAGAAAATACCCCTCCGGAACGCCCTCGTTCTGACCATGCGCAAAGCCATGTTCAAGCGGGATGTGGCGCCGCGCACCGTGGGCGTCGTCGGGTTGTGCGCCGTGTTGGAATGCGCGATGCATGCCAACAACGCCCGCCCCATCTACCTCACTCAACGACGAACTAGTACTACTACTCCTGCTATCTTGTTTTCGGCGAGCCAACAAGGAGGACTACAGATGAGCCAGTCCATCTTGGACAGCCACGACGTCGACCAAGGGAACGTTGTGAGTGTATTTCGCCAGTTTGCGTCGCTCTTTCGAAAGGCCCTAACGTGCCAGCGCCAAGTCCGACAAGTGCTGTACAGGCAGTGTAAAACCATGACCAAGCAGTGCCCCGCCTTACGCGGCGTCGTGCTGGATCTGCTTGGGCCTCACCTGCAGACGTACGTTGAACCCAATGAAGCGCTCAGCCCGCCCTTGTACTTGACGGAAGTGGACGATGTGCCGCTGCTGCTGGACGCGGTCGTCGCATGTGAACAAGGCGACGCTGTCGGGTCTGTCCTCGAGCGCCTCAAACATGTCGACATGGAGGACTTTGAACTGGATAAAACCTGCGACGCGGTTGTCCACGGGTCGCCCACGCATCAACGGGCAAACGATGTCGTGGCTTTATGTGACGTGGTGCTGAATTTTATATGGGTACGTACATACATTTTCGATTGTGTTTATGATCATACGTGGCATTATGGCGTGGGGGGTATATATAGGTGTTTCAGTAGTATATTATATTTATATCTATATAATATTTATATTACATTATATATACATAATATTTATATATAATATTTATATTATATAAATATATATATATATATTACATTTATATTTATATATATATATCGGAATAGATACGTTTGAGAGGATGAGAAACTGAGGGGATATAGTTGGGATGCAAACATGCACTATTTGATGTGTGTCGTTGCGTGTAGTTTGAGGACTTAGTGGTTACATTGGTGCTCCAAGTATTGGCTACATATCTGCGTTTATAATATATATATATATATATATATATATATATATATATATATATAGATCGGTGATATTTGTTTGTCCAATCCATGATTTATATGGGATTTCTATAGGAACAAGACTCGAACGGACCCGTGTTGAGCTTGGAGCAACGTATGGACAGTTTAAAGCTCATGGAAGTCCGCCATAAGGTCAAGCTATTGATCCAGTCGAATCAGCTGCCCCACCACCAAAAAGCTGGCCGTTCATCCAAAGCATTGGACAAAATGCATGGCAAACCTCCTCCTCACCTTGTTAGCTACAACCACGAGATCCATCACAACAATAGCCCCACTCTCTTGGAGCCATGTTATGTGGTACACCATCGATCGCTTTTGATTGTGCTGGAGAGTATGACGCGCCAAATCGACTCGAATTTGAACCAGCCCACGGCTTATCAGTGCATCTTGGAGCTCTGCGACACGTTCATGCGACACTGGCTGGCGGAAAAAGCTCTCTTGTGGCTCCATCCCAAGGCCCACACGGTGTTATTTCGTATGTCTCGGCGGATGCAAGTCGAGTTTCTCACGACGTTGGCGGCGTTATTATGGAAAGCATCGGAAGAGTTATTCGTTGAACAAGTGGTGGTTGCGCAGCCAAATATACCGTCCAACAAAGCCAAACAACGATCATTGGCGAAATCCACATCGCCAGTCGCGTTGTCGCTGCACTCTGTCGCATATTCTGTGCTTGCGATGGTGTTTGACGCTGCCGCTGGTACCGTGTCACACGTCGACGCCGTGCTTTGCGCGATGATGGCAGCCCCATCGACCGACCACCCCCGTCGCGAGGAAGTAATAGCAATGCACGGGCTGGCGCTGCAGAAAAAAGTATTTGGGCTCATTCGAACCAACCACTTGGTCGAAGCCCACGGTCTGCTTGACTTGTTGATCCGCCACGTATTCCCATCCTACTCTGTCGACATGACTGAACGTGCGCAAAAGTGGATGGAGGCAGTGTGCTCGACCCAACCAGCCCTAGCCACACATATGCCCATCGTAACGACGTTTGTGTCGTCGCTGTTGAAATCGCCCACCACGTGGCTACGGATGGCCAATGCCATCCACCGATTTCTAAGCCCAGACAACCACGAGAACGATGAAGAAGGAGAAGAAGAAAAAGCCGAGAACGATGATAATAGGTCCCTCGCCTGCTTAACGTTGCAAACTGTGGCCCCCATCACAACGTTACTCGTCCAAGTGCTGGAACAAGGCATGGCCGATGTCGACCGCGAACTCAAAGGCAGCCACCATATCCACCACCACCTCCGTGGCCCTTCTTCTTCTTCTCTGGTACATATATATATATATTGTGGTATATTCGGTACAAATTTCCAGACCCCGTCGAATGTCGCCGCCAAATCGAATCACGAATCGACGCTATTGGCTAATATTCAATATTTTGAGTGGATTTGATTGGCTCTTACAGAAAGGACACGTATATTCAACCAATCACAAGTCTAGCGTGATTCAATATTGATTTGACAAACCACGCGAATTTTGCAAGTTTATAGCGAATATTCACAATCCATTCGTTTTTTATATAATTGTATCTATCGATCGATCAATCCTTTGTCCTGACTTTGATCGTCCAGTATCACACTAATTTCAGTCACACACTAATTCGGTGTTGAATTCGTCGACGAGTGGATAATTTGATTGGCCACTGGATTCGTGTTGTGCGTTTTGATTGGTCGCATATTGGTTGTTTACACGAGTCATTGAAGTTGTAAGCCTTGACATGGTGATTTGGTTTTATTTGGTTTTATTTCGTTTAATTTGGTTTACTAATTTGGTTATGTTTTGTATGGTAGTCGACGGACGGGTGGGAAGACGCGACGGTGTTCAACCAACTGACTCTGGTCGCGCACGCGTGTGCGCCACTCATGTCGACATCATACCCCACACAGACACTCACGGCGCGCGTGATTCGCTGTATATTGCGGCTATATAAGCTCAGCACGGCGGTATTGCAGCGCCAACTGCGCTTGAAAGTTCACACAGTCCAACCGTCCATTCGTGCCTTCTTGGATGCATCGAGTCGCCAACTCACTCCATTGGTAAGCCAACATCTATTCTACTGTACAGTACTCGTACGGTATTATGTATCGGCTCATATGTGTTCATATGTTATTGGGGTGACAGGTACTCCAGTTCATTGCCTGCAATCATGAAGACAACAAGCGCAAAGCCACGGCGGCGGCGGCGGCTCTGTCGAAACAGAGAAAAGGCCGCCAAGATGCCAAGTTGATCCCTGACTTGATTTTTCAAGTCGAGCAGTACGACGTTGTGATCATCAAGCTGTCCAAACTGTGCAAGGTTCGTCCGTGTCCATGTATTCGTTGAGAAAATATTGTGAATTCGCTATAAACTTCCTTAAATCCCCTGGTTTGTCGAATCACGCGGGAATTCTGATTGGTTGAATATACTTGTCCTTTCGAGCCAATCAAATCCACTCAAAAATGGATTAGCCAATAGCGTCGTTTCGTGATTCGATTCGACGGGAAATCTGTACCGAATCATCCACAATAATGATGAGTCATATTGTGCTTGATATATTTACCCCAAAAATGAGGACTTTTGTGCTAATTCTTTGCCAAATCTATCGATTGTTTGTCCTGAAAAAATTGTATGTAAAAAAAGGGTGTCCTGTGGTGATGGGTATCAATCATCACACTAATTCAAGTCAAAATACACGAATTCAACGTTGATTTCCCGCAATCTGATTGGCTAAATATCCTTCTGCCGATGATTCTTATGTATACATTATATTTGGTTGTGTGTCGATTCAATCTCCATGTCGCCACTCCAGTTTAGAATATATACAAGTATGGTGTGTGTTTACGTTCGTTCTTGGTTGCATATCTATTGTAATATATATATATATATATATATCATCATATCGAGACTTGGCTCGTTTGATTCGAATTTGACGAGTATGATGTGTCCTATTCACACAAGTACTTCATGATGGTTGCTTTAGAGTGTCAACTTTAGCCGGTGGTGTGTCCGCCGCCAAGCGCGCGATTTCAAGCTCAATATGGACACTGTATCTCGTCTATTGCCTGGTGATCATGACGACGAAGAGCAAGACAACGACCCCCCCCACAACGACACCAATAATCATCGTAATCAGCATCAAGTCCGACTTCAGCATGCCAGCCATATGCGTGCAAGTGCCGAAACGCGGCAAACCGCCGCCATGGACGACATGGAACATGACGAAGTGGCAGAAGACAATGACGTCCAAGATGACATGGACATGCCATCATCTGGTGACGAAAGCGATGACGTGCCTGCGACGGCCAGGCAAGAAGAAGAAGAAGACGACGAAATGGCGTCGCGCCATGTTAAGCGCCGTCGACGCGTCGTAGAGGAGGAGGACTAATATACCGTCTAGTTATTGATACAGGAAATCGCTAGTAATACTAGTAGTAGTAGTACTAGGCCGTGGGCGCGAGTTGGTCTTGCCAGACTTTGAGGTTGCGGTCGAGCTGGTCGAGGCAGTGCTTGAGGTGGACTTTGGGCACGCGGCTGAGTGTATGGAACACGGGTCTGACGATGCCGAGAATGAACCCCGCCTGCATCTTGGCCTGCGGAATCGGGTTGTGGCGGTCGCATCCGAAGCTCATGGGCAGCGCGAGGCGGCGCTCGTGATCGCCCTGGGCGTAGAACTCGGTCATGATGCGGTCCGTCCATGTCTGGTACACGGCCCACGGCTTGACGGGGTTGGACACGTCGGCGGCGTGGAGTGCGACCTGCAAACAAACAATATGTGACACAGTGAGGACGGTGGGATTCATGCGATACGGCACCTGCAACAGCAGCTTTTGATCGTCAAAGTTGCTCAAGTCGATGTCGTTGTCGTCGCCGTCAACACTAGATATACATCACAGGACATGAAAGTTGGGTTTCACATGGTTAAACTGCTTCGTGCCATCATATATATATATATATATATAATATAGATACTTCCTCCGTTCCGGAATGAAGTATAATACCATTGTACAATTGATATCATGTATTGTGTGTTCTACTCAAAATATATTTCCTCTGGCTGTGGGTTGAATGAACCGCCGAATAACCTCTGAAATTTCATATAAAACTAAGTTGAAGAGGTATCTTTGTGACTACAATCAATCTTTTTAGCCAATCAAATTGAAACATTCATTCTTTGTAGCCAATTATACTCCTTTGCTCGAGTTAGTTAGCGATTTCATCAATCCCAAATAGGCAAAAATGACTGAAAAGCACAATACTTGTACTAGGAAAGAATGTATGGCTATTAATATTTCATAAAAATCAGCATCCGACGCACATATATTTTTATTCAGAATGATAAAACGACGACCGACGTTTATATACGACGTCTATAAAGGTAATAGCTTATATATATATATAAAGGTAATAGCAGATATATATCTAAATATAATAGCAGATTTATATATATATATATATACATGCTAAGCTTACCTTTGCAAAACCCCGTCGAGGCGACCCATGTAGATCGAGTGGTTTTTGTTGTCTGTGGCCAACACCATGTCGATGATCAGGTTGCGCACCTACAGTATGAAAAACAAACCAGTCGATTGCACGACCCAATACTAGTAACCCGACGACTACTACTAGTAATACTAGTAGTACGCACTTCAATCCGTTCCACGTCGCTCAACGTGGCCAAGATGTCGCACTCGCGGCTGTGCAGCAACTCGAACGCGACCGCGCAGTGCATGTTCTCAAGAGGCGATCGATACGCGTATCGGATGGCGAGGTGGTCGTTGGTGTTGATGTGAAAGTTGTTCGAGTACCCTGTGTGCCCCTGTCCACCCATAATTCTCTTTCATTTAGCCAATACTATAGTATATATCAAGTGTCGTGTACCACGTCGTGGCACGCCGCGGCTACGAGCGCAGCAAACCGCCCGCGCTTGGATATGATTGTACCCAACCCGCCCAGCGTTAAAAAGTGATGCACACATTGCATGACGTCGGCCGCATGTTCCGCTACGAGCCCCCCCCCCATATGGAGATAAGCGCGCGCTGCTGGCATGTAGATATGATCGATCTTTCGTACCATTGTGATATGGATTGGACAGGTACTTGGCTTGAATGCTACAAGGATATGTGACAGCGTTTGATTGCGGAAATCTATGTGTGTATTTTACCCCTGAAAGAACGCCCGCAACGTGGGCGTGGGAATGGCAAAGTGGGCGCACATGTTTTCTGCATCAAAGCAAGCGCATCCCACGATCAGCAGCACGTCGTCCAAGTGCAGTTTGCACAGCTACCAGTAGACGATAATATTTGGTGAAATAAGAATTGGGGAGAATTGAAATATGGCTTATACTGGATTATACTGCAAAAAACGTTGAAATTTACCAACTTTGGCTAAAAGTGTAGGTGGTTTCCATCCAAAAACAATACATACACTACGTATGGAGACAAACACTCTCTCTCCTTTGAAGGTACTACCTCGAGCACGTTAAAGTTCCACGTCGAGATCTTGGCAAGCTCCTTCTTCACCAACGCTTCCATGTCGACCCCAATGAGGATGTTCAGCGCACTGCCGCGACCTCCCAGCATGCGATGCTTGGCGTCGGGGCTGTCGGGCGGCATGGGGCCAGGGACGGACGTTACGATCTCTTCCGACGACACGGCCACACTACCAGGAGAAGCATATGCATTGTTCAACTCGATGACATCCTGATGGAAGGTCGTGTTGTTACAGTCGCGGGTCCGACGAGATGGACCGAGATCGAGTGCCGTTGAACGCTTTAAGGCATCGCTGGACAAGGCTGGCTCGACGCAGTGCCACGCGGAACGTCGCGTGCGAGTCTTCGTTCTACGATGACGTGGCATTACGAGAGCGCTCGCACAACACGTTCAAGGACCGACCGTGCTCGAGTAGTTTTGGTTGATAAACCCTTGTACTTTGTCGTCAAACACGTCCCGATTCGAACTAAACGTGCGGTGGAGAGATCGTTCGGCCTGCATATACATACACATATACAGTATCATGACAAGTCACCATGAACGATGATGGAACATGTACAGTACGACGGTACTGAACCGACCTCTCGTGCATACACGGGGGTCTCAGGGTCGACGAGCTCAGCAAACGCATGCAGGAGGACTTCGACGTCGTAGAGGCCGATGCTGGCTTCTTTTCGCTCGTGGTCGGCACATTGTTGATGGAGTTTGCGCAAGAGGGTCACCGCCCCGACAATGGGCGACTCGGGTCCACCATCGTCGTCGTCGTCGTCGGACGCCTCTGCTGCTTTGCTAGCCGTTTCTTCCATCGGCGGGACGTACGCGAGCGATGCCGCATGACTGCCGCGGAGGATCCGAGCGGCTTGCTTGAGCGCTTCGCGTTGTTTGTGCAGCGGCATCTAGAGCGCAATCGAAAGTTCACTGGCCGCCCCCACATGAAACCCCCATGAGACGAACGGGCGTAAAATCGAACGTTTTTTGCATATATACAACCCACCCACGTTCTGATTGGCCAGTCACGCGATGGCAGTTACGGCCTGTCGACAATGACGACAATGTTAAGAATGAATAGTTTTTGCTTTTTTCTCTTAATATTCTAATAATTAAGCCCCACTTTTTCAATATTCTAGTCGAATCTGAAAAGCCATATTTTCTGAAAATCGATCAAAACAACAAACACTACAGTACTATTACAGTAATAGTACTACGGTACATCGTAGAAGAAATATGTTCAATAATATGTTTTGGGTGCATTCACACACACACACTTTCAACTACCGGTACATAACAATACCAACCACTAGATCGCATACGTCAAGAAAACTGCCAAAAGGGACTCCATCCTTGATATGAAACGACGACAGATGCATAGAAAGTAGGCGAATGCCGCACAAAATATACAAGATATACACCCTGCAGCCGTATATATTACTGTATCTTGGTATAAAGGTGATCAAATATGCAAGATAATATTTTTTTTTTCTTGTATAAAAAATGGTTCCAGTGGATTTTCTGTCAAAACAGAATTTTCCAAGAAAATTGTGAAATTATATTAGAATTTGCCAAACAATCGTAGGCCTTACAATAAAAACCACTGTTCGATTATGGATCCAAATATAATTCGGGATTCAGAATCCGTACAATTACAAAATGAAAGGTATACAAATGGCTGGCTTTGGAGTTTTAATAACATTAACTGTAAAAACAACTCGCGCTTTGCCGACTTGACATGGTTTTTTCCCATGACCTCATACTAGCTAGTTAGTATTACTTACTCCATCCCCTACTACTACTGCTACCTCGCCCCGTCGAGGGGTCGCGTGAAGTACCTCCGCCAGTGTCGACCGGATCGTGTCCTTGTCCATCGAATCGACCCGCATCAGCCGCTCGGCCAACGTCGCCGCCAGTGCATCCAACTTGTCTAATTCAGCTCCCTTGATCGAATACTCCACTACGGCCCCGCTCCTTGCCGCGCCAGCATGCATCGCCGTCTGGCTCTTGCCGCCACTCTCCATGCGTCCCATACACGAAGATGTCGGGATGGTGGCGGTGGCGTGGGAAGATGGTGGTGGTGGTACTACCACCACCGCGGCGGCAGCGGGCGGACGGGCGGCATGCGGTGTCGGCGGCAGCGATCGGTCGTGCACGGTTGGACACACGAGCGACTCAGACACGAGCGAGTACGCGGCATGGTGGGAACGAGTGGTCGGGTTTTTGTGTCTGTGGGGATGCATCTGCGACGGGTGCGGCTGCGGCGTGAGCAACTTGCCCCCACCCCCCCGGCTGCTCCGTGTAGCCGCGACGCGTTCCCTTGCTAAGTCCTCGTCTGCCCACGTTGCTGTCGACTGTCTCGTCGATATGGGCGTGGCGGACGTCGTTGCCACACTACTACTAGTACTACAACTCCCCCTCCTCTGCCCCCCCCCGTGGTGATGGTGGAGTCCTTGTGCTTGGTTGGCTATCATCGAATTCGAATTCGGCGGCGGTTGTTGCTGTGGTTGAGCTTGTGGTTGAGGCTGAGGGGGAGGTTGTTGCTGTGGTTGAGGTTTTGGAGTAGATGGCACGTCCATCCCGACCATCGAAGACGATTCGAATTCGCCTTCTTCGAGCATTTGCATGGGCGCAAAGTAGTCGCCATCTTGGTAAGAGTGTGCGTCCATCGACAGGTCGCTCATGTCGGACAGGCGGCTGCTGCTCCCATAGCTCATCCCATACTGCGACGACGGACGTACCGCCAGGAGCGAGTTGAACGTCCATTCATCCCGCCGCACCGCCGACGCCGTACGGTGCCCCATGTGGATGTTCGAAGATGGACGGTCCAGGCTGTGAAACATTATGTCTTCTGGGTTAAAGTGCTCAATGCCAAAACTCTCGCCAAGCCTGTGGTTCTCGCGGGTTTGTCGGGACCGTTGGAGGGCGGCTGCCCCCCCCCCGTCCACCCGTTGGTTCTACATACATAGACACACACACAATTGGACATGAAAACCCGATCACACCTAGCCAGTATTTTGATTGTTCAAGTCGATTCAACGAAAATTGGAATGACCACCAAGCATCAAATCGGCAACACAATCGATGATCGACCAATCAAAACCTAGATGATCACAGCAGCCAATCAAAAGCTTCGACCAAGTCCACATCGAATTGGTGTAGGACTGAAATTAGTGTGACAACACAGCACGAGTTCTTTGTATGTACATACAAAAGTTCGTCCAATCAAGAAGAATCACCAGCACAAATGTCCAACTTTGAGGTATAGGGCAATAGCTAGTAGCTACTAGGTAGTAGTAGTCACCCTACATACCAAGGGAGGCCCGCGCCTCGACACACTTGGACGCATGTAGTGGTCTGGGAACTTGGTCGTGCCAGGCATCGCTTCATCGTGGACTTCAGCAGACGCGTCCGCCACATCCGACATGAGCGCGCTGTCGGCGGCATCGCAGGACAAGGACACGGATGGACGGAATGGGTTGGCCATGAGCGCCGCGCGGTGGCTAAGGAACCAGTCGGCCGACTGGAACCTCCCCTGCTTGCGCGGGCCGCGGTCCGTCTTGAACGCGCGGGGCTCGTCGTCCCAGAACTCGTCCGCCGTCGCGCTGGCTTCGACGTGCTGTGCCGAATCTAATACCCAAACAAAAAATGAGATAAAAGAGAGATGTCAAGTGGTTGGCCGCGATAGAAACTTGAACCGGAACATGTTGGAATCGTCTACACAGAATAATCCTACTCCTACTGGAATATATATATATATATATAATAATAATGCATAATCAATCTGATATATAATACTGGCATATATATATATATATGTATATGTATGCAACGATGAAAAATAATACTGGTATATATATAATATATACACATGATAATGCGAATAATCCTACTCCTACTGGTAATATATATGTAATAATGCAAAATCATACTAGTATATAATACCGGCATATATGCAATGATGAAAAATAATACTGATATATATATATATACGTGATTATGCGAAAAGGCACAAGAAAACTGGTCATAGAGAGATATACCAGTACATTTACATAAGAATACAATACGTTTGCTGAGTCGTTGGATGGACGGTTGTCTGAGGAGTATTGTAGTCAGGCAACTGGATATATATATATATATATATATATTATTGACTATATTTCCATGGCGGCCACACAACAAACTCCTTTCCGTGTCGTTTCCCACGTATCATATATATATATATTCCATCCAGAAACACAGTCGTGGCTATATATATATATATCGTACCTCGAGTCTGCGATGTGCATTCAACACACACGCGCATGTTGGTGCGTCCGACGTCTACAACGTCGACGACGACGTCGGCGCTGCATTTCTTGCATGTGACGTGGCCGCATGTCCGGCAGTGGTGGCGCTGGGAGAAGACGGGGGTTCGGCACGCGTGGCAGTGCAGTGCGTAGGACTTTTTGGGTTTGTCCGTCAACGCCAACATCGAAGGGCTAAACGGTTTCACGCGGCGGAAGTAGTGCTGGAGCCTCCCGACTTCCATCACGCGGCGTTTCATTATGGAGCTCATGACCCACGACGGAACGCTGCCCTTCATGTCCACCTGCAGCACATGCACGACTTCGAGGCAGTTGGGGCGATCCGATTCGATAAACACATAGCCTACATGAGGATAAGAAGGAGAGGATGTATGGGAAGAAGTACCTGAGCGGTAGATGGAGCCACGGACGAGGCCGTGGGATTTGTCCATGGGAGGACACACCTGGCCCCAGCTGACCGAGTGCATGCTGTGAACCCAGCCGCGGCGCCCGGTGCGGCGGTCAACAAACTCGTCCTGGCACTCCAAGAAACAAAAGTCGCGTGGCTTGATGAAGATCGTCGGGGACTCCACGGCGGCCCACTTGACGCCAATGTAGTGCAGCGGCGTTGTCTCCGTTGGCAGCACGAGGTTGGTCAGGGAGGCGCAGTCGAGGTAGTCTGGCGCGAACGTCTTGGCATGTTCGCGGTACTTGTCGGTCGTTTCTGTGCGGAACACGCGCGCCACGTCGTCGAGCGACGCTTGGAGTTGCGTCACGGCGCAAAAGTACGCGACTGTGGACGCCTCGCCGGGCTTTTTCCCGCTAAACACTTGGACGTGGGGAGACGTCGACGATGAATTGGAAATCGGAATCCACGTGACAGGGCCATTTGTTCGTCTCGCGTAGTAGATGACCTTCGTGCAGGACTTTCGCGCGACCGAGTTGAAGAAGTCGGCTTCGTTGGCCGACAGGTGCGGGGCCGGAAAGTAGTCGGCTGGGAGTGGGAACTTGCCACTACTACCACTACCACTGCCGCTACTACTACTACTAATACTACCACCTCCTGTGGTTCCTTGACTAGCGGCCCGCATCTCGCTAAAGCTTGCATGCGTCATGCTCGTCGTGTTGGTGCGTAGCCAGTTCTCGCACACAACGCTGCGAAACTCGAAATGAGCAATGTAGAATCAGTTTCCAAACCTCAATTCAAATCTCAATTGAGGAAATCATACACCTCCGACGTTGTATTTTGGCCCCATAAGACTCAATTGAGTCGTGAAATTCACAATGGTGACATACGGACCGGCCGAATACCCTCCAAATACCCGACAGACGGGTAAGGAAGAGACACCCTACCTATGCAACATGTGGGAGGAGATAGAGCGATGCCAGGCTCTGTGTGCACACACCGCCGCCCAATGCTACGAAACTCTATGCAAATACCATCCAACTGGCACACTGGCTCCGCAAGCCACCATTGTCGACGACAGGCGGCCACAGGTTGACATGTATGTGTTGCCGTTAAGCTGGTCAGGACAACTGTAGTTGGGTAAATGAATGCCAGGACGAATCTGAGGGCGATTACGGAGGAGCATGATAACATTAACGTTAGCGGTTTTCTGTGGCAACTTTGCAAGTTCCTGTCTGATCTGCCCGACGCTTAAAATGGCAAATTGATTCCAATAGGTACAGTATGATAACATTAACGTTAGCAGTTTTCTGTGGCGACTTTGCAAGTTCCTGTCTGATCTGCCCGACGACGCTTAAAATGGCAAATTATACAAATCGGTACAGTACTGTATATGCATGCTGTCATATATAGCAACACGAACATCAAACTGGCTGGCACCGTCTCGGCCCCTGTTCTCCTTGGACTCTACCACACACGCACACTTGTGCAGCCCCCGCCCAAGGAACCGCGCTCTTAGACGAACATTGTTGTTGGAAAAGGCAAGTTGAGTGGTCTGCATTTACCAAACAGCGAGGTTGAAACATCAATCTGGCGTTACATCCGTCGATGTAACGAACAGACACAAACAATTACCTTAATTCAGTGCATAATGCAATGCGGAGTGGGACGTACAATGGACATTCGCGAAGGAATGCCTCCCGTTTGTCGTTCGTCAGGTCACGTCTTCCCAATTTGAACATCAGTCTCACCTTCCAAGTCCATTCCGGAATGCTTGTCGATTTAGAATGTAGGTTTCATCGTATTTAATGACTTTAACATGTTGTACTGTAAAAAACAACACGTTAACGTAGAAAACCAATTTAAGAACACTTTTTCCGAGACGCTGCGGTGGAAGGAACGAAGCTCAGCATGGATGCATCAGATTCACATTCCGAAAAGTGCTGGATGAGGCCAAAGCGGAGTTGATTCATTGGACATTCAAATAATTGTGTTTCACGGTCTTTTGACAGACATAAATACCATTTTCGAAGCAAATGTACTCAAAAAGTGAAAACCAGTTATTGGTGCACACAATTAGCTTAAAGTTTGTATACCCGTTTGCATATTTTTTGTGTGGTTAGGTTATGTAATTTCAGCAGTTAAATATTAAATCTAGACAGGTAATGCAATTATACAGTTGTGAGTAACTTTCAGTGACCATTTTTGAAATTGACGCGAGTCCGACATTTTAGGAATCCACAACCAGGTGTGCACGAAAAATTGGAGGTCCAACAGCACATGCAAAGGTGTTTCATGTAATGCGATGAATTACACTACAACGTGCACAGCGTTCTTGCGGTTGGCTTTGACTTAACCATTAGGCAAGGGCTTGAGGCCCATCATGGCAGCGACACGGACACAGCACCAGCACCGCTCTTCGCTTCTTCTTTCGTTCGGAGTGCAAGTCAAATGTGACTACAGTAGTAATAAGCCTCGTGAGAAATATATACATACGTGTACAATGAAAGTATTTGTAACTTTACCGTCATTCACAATCTCCTCGGTATGGTAGGGCGTGGCCCGCGGCGCTTTGGTGTCGTGGTGGTGCCGGCCTTTGTCGCGTGCACATACTTCATGAGGGTGTTGTAGGGTATCTTGGAGAACGTTGCCACTGGCTTCCCGTTTCGCCCAGCAAGCACATCTTGAACAGCTCTGTCAAGCTCAACGCGTGTATAGCGCGATCGCGGTCGCGGTCGTGCATGACAGGCGCCAAAATTCACTTGGTGTATAAATTAGATTAAGGAGGTTATTTCCCAGTATTTTGACTACATTTGATTGGCTGATTCAAGTGCAGTTCGAGCGCTGAAGGCCTTCGAGACGAAGGTTCTCAAAGATAGAGCAGTGCCAAAGGCAATGGACCTGGCGAAAATCTCGCTAACGTGATCGACCAGTGATGTGCCGATTTTTTTCTTTTTTCTTTCGTGAATTCCTCGTATGTGGTGGATCTCGCCAGAAAAAAGCTCATCAAGATAACCTTAAATTGGTTTTCTACGTTATAATTCGAATTTGCCCTCAACTCTCGGTGCACTCTTTCACGTGGTCCAATCAGAGCGGCGATAATCAAAGCTGGGCAGGCGACATCCAAATTTGAATATATCTTTAGAATATAATGATCAGTCATGTCCCTCCTCCTCAAACTCGGGCATTTAAAATGGGACGGAGGGAGTATTATAGTACAGCACGCGTACTGTATCACTGTATCGAATGCTTGGACGAGACCGCAACTACAGAAGTAACGTGACTCGAGGAATACAGTTGCGCAGCTGACTTATCTCGATTTTCAGGCATTAGGGATGACTTCTCTTTTCCTGTTTCGGTAAAAATTAAAAGCAAGGGATTCTATATCGGCGATTTCGAAGACAACGTTTTTCCCTATTCAGAGACAAGATGGAGACAAATTCGTGGGCTTCGTGGATGATCGGCGAGTTCATGGTGAAGTGGTCCCATGGGTCATACGCTATTGAAGCGTTGGGGCTACAGTATTAGTAGAGACGGCAGAGGCATAGATTATTATGTTATTCCCAGTCCTCCCATCCACCTCGAGATCATTCGTCAAGAGAGTCTGATGAAAGAGTTTGGACGGGTATCAGTTCTTAGATTGTACTATCAACTTATAACAGTGTCGGTTACGCGTTCAAGTTCATGACAGTACGTGCAACCGACAGGTATGATAGACCATCGTATTTTAATAAGTTGTGGCTTGTAGCGCATTCATCCGGCCAAGGCGCCCTGCGAATACCCCTGAAGCCGCAAATGTGCAGCGCATTCGTATATTTTGGCATACATATCCACTATCGCAGTTGACGTAAAACCCCTTAACATTGATCCTATGATCACAGTCATTGTTAACTGGGTGAACTTGCTATCTCAGAGCTGGTTTCCTCGTCGCGCGGATGCGCGCCAGTCATGCAATTCATGTCAAATGAATGGTGGTGCTGTCGTGTCTGGATGTTATCCGGTCCCCGTTATATCCTCCAACAGTCAAACTTAAATTTGGTATACCTGGCTAAACGTGAGAATTCGGAGCTATCGTTTGAGAATTCGGATCGACCGTTGTCGTCAGTGGTCATTTTGAACAACCATGTCTTCAGTGGTCATTTTCACAAAAGGGACGAGAATAAAAGATGAACACCTTCGGAACGTCGAAATGGGGCGTACATGATGTTGTCCTTGGTGGCGGAGGCCAGCAGCCGGGGGTGTAGCACTAGTTCTCTGGACGGAGAGCACGTTCTCCGTTTGCTACAACGCGACGATGACTGAGGGCGACCATACTGTTGAAGCATGCCGGATTTTGTGGTGACCTCGGTAAGTACGGACGATGTTTACGTCTGTACAGATTGGTCTCTTCCAAATGTGGGAGATGCGGACTGCTAGATGAACTGGGTGGTGTCTAATGCCGGAATGCGCGCGTTGGCTTGAAGCGCGAAAGAGTATGCGTGCATGGAGGAGTGTCGAGCTCCACGTAGCAAGTTGCTGCGAAAATACCTCGAGATTATGGTCAATATTTTGATTGACATGCAGCTATGACGTACGTCAGCATTGGAATTCTCTCAGTTTTCCGGCGAGTGCAAGTAACAAGGTGAAACCATCGAAAATGTGCGGGTCGCTACATTGCAGGAGACCATTTGGGAATACGTTGGGCTTAGCAAATAGTAGGCACGCTTTGCGTGGAAGGTGCCAAACGTATTCCATTACCAGCAGAAGCTGGTCGAACACTTAGCTAATTTTGGTATGTGCCGTGCCGACCTGTCTCGGGGTGGACGGGATTTCGTCCACCAGATCTCCGAGTACTGTCGAAGTCGCGACAGAGTGCACAGAGAGGCGAGTTGGCTGGGATATCCAATGCGTGGGACCATGCGATGCCGCGATCAGATACTCGCGGCCATCAGGGACCCAACAAGAGCCCTTTACCACGAGCTCATGGTCCGGATCATGCGATCGCTGGCGTCACTCACGACGTGTTGAGATGTTTGGTAGCGCAGCATGATACCGTGGCCGCTCGCTTGGCTGCGGTTGAGCTAATGATGAAGTCAGCTAATGATGAAGTCACCTACGTCGTGTTGACGCGTTCGGTAGGTTTGAGGCGTGCTCGGTGCAGCATGACGCCGTGGCCGCTGGCTCATGGCGTGACGCGACTGGAGCACGATGCCGTGCTTGAACGATTGGTTGCTGTCGAGTGCAAGTACCACAAAACAGACGCCACCTGTCAACTCAAGTGTTGAGGCAGAATATAGAGTGATGCGGCTGCGCATCAAGGTACTTAAAAAGGGAATTTTATTAAATCTGAATCGTTGGTACGTACACTACGTAGTCCGGGGTAGTTGAAAGGGGAGGGTTTCTGACTCGACCCTAACTAGGCTTCCTGGTGTCGATGCCAAGGACCTGAGGAAACCTGGGACTGAACCAGCGACCATCGGTGTGTTATACTTAGATCAGGTGTAAAGTGATCTATAAGTAGACGCGCTCCCAACTGAGCCAAAAGAACTGGTCAATCTGGACATGAGATTGTACTACGAGAATGTGTACTCTCGACTGGGGTAATCAACAATTGGATGGTGGCAAGGGATATAGTACAGTAGAATAGAAGGGCATACGATATGTATGAACGTCCATCTCCAAAACTCAGGCTGTAGAGTGAATCTGATGAAGCGCAATGGCTCGTTCAACTGACCTGATCTAGTTCTGCGTTGTAGTATGTGTGTGAAGTATATGTATGCCGCCCCGTAAGTGCTCGAAATAGATGGCTCCAAGGGTACACAACAATCATGTCCATAACTCAGGCTGTAGAGTGAATATTTGGCAACATAAAGGCTCGTTGCGCTGGTCAGAGGCAGTGCTGTAGTGTAGTAAGTGAGCGTGGAGGATATGTCTGTCAGGACTAAGCGAGCTACCTATCTTGAACGGACGCATTCATGGCTGTCGCCAAACACAAGGTTGTGAGTAGCGGTATCATCCTCCATGTCAACAGAATGCCCAAGTGTGAAACGACCAGGTAGTATTTTATAATATGCTACTTCGAAAGCATACAATATTGAAGTTCATTTGGGAACATTGGTTGTGCAGTACGGTTTCATAAATACACATGTAACTTACAGTTAACGTAATTTATTAACTGTTGGGTGAAGTAGTTTTTTGTAAATTGCTACTCCAAAAGTATACTAATCTTCAATGAAACCATTTGGCCTTTGAACCCGCCGATATATTGGATAAAACGAATACTGTAGAATGATCAGATACGGACAAAAACGTGAAGACATAGTTTTTACCATATAGATCTATAACGCTCAAAGAGATCGAGTTAGATTGGAAGTGACACATACTTTGATCAGTACCTAGGGTTACTGATAAAAACCACAGATATAGAGCGTTAAACGCATCACAGCCAACCAAGCACATTTGGTGTCCCATCCATAGAAACTCACAAGACGACTTACTCAATGGTGCGCACTACCTTCACCTCCATGCTGGAACGGCTTCATGCCCAAAGCGCCTCCGACTGGATCTTCCTAGAAGAGAGCCTCACTGATTTTGGTCCCGAAGCTGACGAGGCGACCGACTACCCCCACCCCATCATGGACAAGGCCATCGAGGACAGCGGTCCACAGGGCTTTCGAGTGCTGACATACTTCAGCCCACATGAATTTGAGACCATTTGGTCTGTCATTGAGTCTTCCCTGTCCTCCCGATGGAACGACGGAAGCGGACGCAAGTCAACGACCGAAGGATGCCTTCTTTGTTACGATGGTTATCTTAAGCACTACCTGACATGGGAGAAGCACGCCCTCGACTTCGGCATGAAGGCGCCGACCCTCGAAAAGGTGGTGATGCGGGTCATCAACACGGTCCAACCGGTCCTATATGATCACTTTGTCACTATGCCCAAGCTGCGGAACAAGGCTTGCCTTTTTCGCAACTACCCTTACGCCAAGTACGCCACCAACGAAAAGCTCCAGCCTTCGAACCATCCGACGGGCCCCTTTGGCGAGCAAAAACACTACTTCAGCAGGAAGCAAAAACTGTACGGTCTCATGATTGAGGCATCGGTCTCACCTGAAGGCCTCTTGGTGGACATGAGTGCCCACGAGCCAGGGTCCGTGTCAGACATCACCATGTTCCGTGACCGCCACGACATCCATGCCGCCGCCCTACTCAAGGACGCAGCTGAGTCCAGCATCAACAACAATGGAGAGCTCTTCCAAGACTATCCTGTATCGTGGGCCGTGCTGATCGACAAGGGCTACAATGGCCTGACGGCATCGGCGCGAGCCATCCACCCGAAGAAGCGGCCGTCTAATGGGACTGTTGATCGCCACGACCTCGAACGCAATGTCAACGTCTTGTCCGACCGCGTCATCGTGGAGAACTTCTCCTGTGAGAGATTTCCTACGCAACGTTCGTGTGGGGTACCAAGAATTACGATTCCATCCAACGCCTTACCTTCGTGCTGACCAACTTCCAACTGACGCTCATGCCTCTGCGCCAGCCAAGACGATCAGCATCAGTATTGCGCAGTCCTGGCACGCTACCGTCGCATGGTGGAAGAAAACATCGCCAAGCGTGCAGCCATCCAGCGTCGCTACACTGTTCGTCGCGCTGAAAGGATCGCAACTGAGTCCTTGTGATCTTTTTTTACCGCCAGCGTGACTTTCTCGTCGCCTTCCGCGAACACTCGTCGTTAAGTATAATGATACAACTTTATACTTGACAATAAACAAACGTACAAACGTCAAGTGTACATTAAAATTTGTTCATTATATACGTTCCTGACATATTCTTCGAACTTGATCTTGATCAGCACCTCAGGCATTTCGGAAGTATGAAAGTCATTGATCTGTTCCGCCAGGGATTGTCATAAACAATAACTTCAAGTATTGCCTCCATTCTTTATCAACAGGGCAGATTCTTGTTCAGTCCGAGGGTCCTAAGGAGACGACGGCCTCAATTCGGAAACACTTGCGTTTATGACTGCGTGACCTATTGAACTATATGTATGTAAAGCAAACTCAACATGTCGTCCAATAGCATATCATCGTTTCGACACGTTCATACGCTACCATGTGCCGAGTTTCCCTTACACTACCTCGCTTTGGTGTATCACATTATAACAGCGAAACAATGCACATTAGTGCCAATCATTTTTGTCTACTCAAAATTTCCATGGTCGTCTCGATCCGAATGTCCGCGAAATGGCCCAAATGACAAAAAGTGGGATCTCCCTCACAAAACAACCGATAGTAATCACCCTATTATGACGCAGTTTCCAGAGCTGAGTCAATGGACGATCCAATCTTGCAGCATTAACATCTGAGCACGCTGGTCTCGTACATATCCTTCTAGCATCATTTAGTGACAACTAGAATGCTTAAAATAGACTTCACATCGATTTGGAGTGCAAAAATGTGGTCAAATTCGTCTGCAGGAAGGTTTTCGACTTTTGGAATATCAAGCAATATTTTATCCTCGTTGCAGGTGACCTCCCATCCATCTCGAGATCATTCGTCAAGAGAGTCGGATGAAAGAGTTTGGATGGGTATCAGTTCTTACACTGTACCATCAATTTATAACCGCGTAGGTTACGCGTTGAAGTCCTTCATAGTACCGTACTTCACAAAAAGTAAGCTAAATATCCCGCAGTCCAAGTGTTGAATATAATGAGTAACGTGGGTAATTTTCGCCAAAAACAGTGATTTTTGTGACTAAAAACACCCTAGTTACAGTATTTCAAAATTATATCGAACGTACATA